GGGTGTGGGGTGTGGGTGGGTGTGGGTGTGGGGTGTGGGTGTGGTGGGTGTGGGTATGGGTGTGAGTGTGGGTGGTGTATGTAATGAGAACGTAACCACACCCACACAGCCACCTACATACACACCCACACTCCACACCCCACACCCACACCCACACCCACACCCACCCACACCCCACACCCACACTCACCCACACCCGACACCCACATCCATCCACACCCCACACACTCCACACCCACACCCTCCCATCTTTTGTCTGCGTTACTTTTAGATGAAATATTTCCCTATTATTTTCTGTTTCAGCACAGAACTCTGTTCGACAGGTGTGGCTGTTGGATGTGGCTTTAGCTTTGTTATTGTGCACACGTGTTTAAAAGTGCCAATTGGGCATCCACACTCGATATCCTCACTCTGGTTTGCAAATCAACTTCTACGTCTTAGTATAGAAAGTATCTCCTTAGCTGTGTGGTCTCTTGAAATACCCTATACATGGATTGTTAGCCTACCCGTGAAAAATAAATTGTCTGAAATACCGTTCTAATACAAACTTTTACAAACAAGTAAATGCTGCGTTACAAAACATTATTTAAATATGATATGCATTCTTTATATATCCAGTGCATTAGAATGCATATTTTTTTCAACGACAATACGCATCTCTTCAAATTAGAACACAACTTGAAAATAACGTTTCATTGTCTTTAGTTCCTATGTATTTATATGCGTTTATTTGTCATGTGTCAAAACGCTTGTTTTTTAGCTTCGTTTTACGGAAACATGATTTCTTTTGGAAACGCATTGAAACGTTTAGCAATGTATCAAAATGCTTTTCTTTTTATTTTGTTTTATTTATAAGAGTGTTGTTAATATTGTCAGTGTGTATATAAACTACTTAGAACGAAAAATAACTACGCTCACAACTCATATTAATTTTACAATGTTATAAAATATTTCCAATAAATAATTCAGTCGTGAATTTATTCTATTTATCTGGATTAATTTTCTCTGATGAATACAAAAGAATTTTAGCTATTGTAGGATTCAATTACCAGGACTTTTGTATGTGATGAGATATGCAGCATATGCTTGATCATCATGATAAGTCACAAAGATATGATTGTTATCTGTTGTCGAATCATAACCAGCTGGTGGAGTCCTCATTTTGCTGTTGCCTGATGCAGCTTTACCGACAAGTACTTTTGCCAAAAACATACAACGTCGATGAGTCGTTGGACTCACAGAGGTGTAGCCGTGACTGTATGAAGCATCGGTTGAAAAATATACACCAACTCCGTGTGCAACTCCTGCAAACTAATTAGTTTAGATATATAACAGAAGGAATTTGATTTACTTACCGTTCACACCGGCAAAAGATCGATTAAAACAAGTATGGATAATCATATCAGCTGATGATTCTGGGCACCCATGAAAGAGTAATCTTTCAGTGTCCTTCTGTTGTGAAAAATGTCGGAAAGCTCTATAGGCCATGTACCATCTTTGATTTTGAATGCGTTCTATTTGAATTTCGATGTATTTTCCCGACATCTTCTGATTGAATTGCTCTATTACTTTTGTATATTCTTCGTCTTTCGAATCTAATACACAACGTAGAACATTATCGGACTGAGCCGTCCAATTATGTGGTATCTGAAAATCTCTTCGAATAACTCGACGCTGTCGATTTCCGCATATCTCAATTTTTTCTTTCAATTTTATTTTACAATCTTCATTGTTATCGTTTCTAAAATTTACCTATAGAATAGAATATGAATTTTTGATCAGTAATTGACTAGTAAATACAAACCACTTCGTTGTTATGCTCGAGTGCCGTTTCAAACAATGCATTTAATTTCAGTGAATATTTTTCAAAAGTATTATTTTCTATTTCGAATAACCAGACGGCAACTCGAGCATAAGATGCAATGCGTGCTTCTTCAGCTTTAACACTTTTCAATCGATAAAATTCTATTTGTGCTTCCTTGACTTCTTCTTTCGGTCCTAAAAGTTTTAATTTGTCATTTGATCGATTAACTTCAGGTAGAATTTGTCTTTCCAAACAAAATTTATAGAAAGAATCAATCGTTTTCTGATTCCAAGTATAGAATGGAAATTCATCACATTCTACTGTGAGAACACATTTATTGACATGGTTTTGGATAAGTTTCCAAGATTCTTTTATGTCTTGTTCTAATCCTGTTAATGTCATTTGAACGGCTATAGTCGAAGAGAAGGTATTTGATTGAATGATCTAATAGAATGGATATTAGAAAATGCTTACTTGAGTGTGGATATATGAAATTTGTCGGATTATTGACTGACTTTTTTTGTCGTAATTCAGCTAATTTGAAACAAAATGCTTTATAATTTTCAGTCTTCTCCGGAAGAAGTACGATCAATATTTGTAGATTATAATTTGCATATATCTGAGTTTCATCAAGTATTATTTCAGCTATCGTAGAAGGATCGTAATTCAATTCGCCACAACCAAGAGCAGGAAATGCTAGAGAAGTTCTCCCTGTATTTACTGCATAATGAATAGCAGTTTGAAAAAACTTTTGTATTGACCGACGTAAAGTTATATCATCGAGTTTTTTCGTTGTCCAAGGTAGAAAAAAGAGTTTCTGGCAAAATAATTTTCCACCTACTGTTTCATAACCTTCACTCATAATTTTGCCCATTTGAGTAGCTGCATTCACTTCGTCTGCTACAGGCTTGCCAGCCTTTTTACAGATATCATTCATAAGATTCTGTGACGTTGAACAAACAACAACCATGTCGACTGTTTGTGTTGCAAGATCACCAATTCGAATATCAATCGACATAGCAGCCGGAATAACTTCTGCATCATCTTTACTTAAGCATGAAACTGGAACTGTATAACTTGTATTCGTTGAGCCAATTTTCGTTTGTACGAGACAATTGTGAGCTAAGGCTATCTCAATGAGCTGTTGTTCTTCAGCTGCAGCTATGGAACTAAAGCAAATATCTTCGATAGTAAATTGTGTTCGTTGACAATTCGCAGCAAGATTTTGTAGGAACTCTTTAATGCTGTCATGAAACTTGTTGGGACTAATAAAATATCCATCTTTAATGTACTCAAATATTCTTATATCTTCATGTTGCTCTTCTAATTGTTTCAATGTATTTTGATGAACGCAAAGCAAAAACTCGATCTAAAACAATATATTTTCAATGATAAAATTGACACATGTGTCATGATGGGAGCATTATATCTTTCACTAATGGTATAACCAGGATTCGGTGCATATGTTTTTCAAAATCAGTAAAAATACTTATAAATCCTTGGCAATCATATGCTACCACTGAAGTTCACAAATCATCCAATCGAGTATTCCACAATCTTTTTACGTGAGACTGCTCTCACCCATTTCATTGTACTAAATATAATTTTTTTTTGAGATACTTGTGTAAAAAAGATTAAATCTCTAATGAGTTAGAAGTCTAATAATTACCAATTTAATTCACACACTTATAATTGACTTTTCATCATATACAGAAACTTCAAATTTAATCAAATTTTTGTATAATTTGTGATAGAATAGATTACAATTTAAGAACTAGGTGCGACTTATGTGGCGTATTTTCCTTTTTAGTAAACGACTGGCGGTCGAGTACAGTTGCGCTTTGCCGTCTCTTGACTATCCCATTATTTTTAATAACTAGATCTGTTTTATTCGAAAGAGCGAACTCGAACGACTATCAACGAATAGAGTAATCTGCAAGAGTATACCAAAATCCTGAGAGAAGAAGATATTCTGCTCTTTTATTCCCCTCGATCCTTACGTCACATGTGTCCCTCCATCGTTGTCTCGTCTCATCCTGAGTCTAACTGATTTCTTTTACTAATGTATCAAGCATCTATGAGATATTTAGTTGTATAGTTACATCTATGTTTCTAATTTGATATAGAAAAAAATATTTATATTAACTTTATAGTACCAAAAGAGTATAATTCAATCGCTGCAACTTTGAGATTTGTTACCATCAATCAAACGCAGAAATAAATCAATGTGAATGGCTGTGCTGCGTACATTAGATTTCCTCAGGTTGATAACTTCAGCTGACACCAAAAACTTAACTGTCGATGAAGCTGAATTTTTTGTACTACTAATTACACGCAATATTCTACACTAAAATGAAATTGTTTGTATTGTATATATATATACTTGTGTCATTATGTCTTTTGTCTGTTCATTTACCATTCAGTTTTGGAATAACAGGTGAACATATATATGCATGTCTATCATTATCATCTTAATTTCCAAATTTGTGTGTGAAAAATAAATGTTATCAGTGAAGATATCAAAAACCGACTTAAAAACATCTGCGTCAGACTTAAGATTTTACAGTGTTAGATATTATATTAAAGGTACTTGATGTCGTTGTTTTTCGACGTTATCAATACTTTGTAGAATCAAAAGATTTTTTTCCCATTCCGTTCATCGTTTTTAGTATACAAATGAAGTATGTCCACTGGCCTAAAAAATTTTCCTAGGTCGTCGTTACACTCTATCAATATGTGTATCGAACAAAATTATCATCCGATTTATTCACAAGCCAAAAGAAAAGCAAAAAAAGAATCAGAGTATGATTTAAAATTTGCTTGACTGCATATGAATTTTTTAGTGTTATGAAGTTATCAAGAAAAACATCTTCAAATTCAAATTCAATGCCGTATTTCTTCTTCTTGTTTCGTTCTCTGAAGTTCAATGGAATCTTCAAATAGTCTCTTCTCTTTCCTCACTACTCTCATTCTTATTAGGCTTTATATTTGTGATATCCCGCGCCTTGTTCTTGCTTCTTATCTTTTATGTTACGCATCATGGTTACCAGATGCAAAACTCAAAAATACCTAAAGAATCCGAAAAGATTTTCAAGGGTCATTTCTATTTAAAATTTAAATGAAACAAAAGAGAATACCCATCAAAACTTAGTTAAATTAACGAGCAAGACATTATCAATTATCCATTGCACCGATAATTGACACGCTGTTTTATACATGAGAAAGAATGAATTTAAACGGAATTTTAATTATCATTTTTTTTCTTGTCTTATAACAAAACATGAAAATCATTAGTCTTCTAAGTAGACCAATACCAGGAAACATTAACCCTTTACCCAATCAGTAATGATTCTTTTAGAATGTTATATCTATATATCTGTTTTGTTTATCCATGTGTAAGAGTTTAGATTGGAAGCACATAAAAGTGAGAAAAGTGGTACAAGCAGATATAATATAGATTATTATTATTTTTTTCATGAATTCTAAAGGTCTTGAAACTAGAGAGCTGTCGATCAATGTTTCATAGATTCAGATGCACAACACTCTACTTGTTACTCATCATATAATACTTCGACCACCTATTAAAATTAAAACTGCACTTTAAAATTGATAATTGTGGACAGTGCTCAACCCTTCTCAATAATAAATGTTCTGTTATATTACATCCTTATTTAACCTGAGCTCGTTTGAAGGATTTCGTTTCATTATTAAGACATACTTGGTAATGTTTCAAGTCATGTTTTCCTTGAACTACACAATACATTTGTTTTATTTTCTTATATTCATTCGTGACATCTTTCACCACATTGGCTAAACCAAAAACTAATACGTGGTCTGTTTGTCTGATTAATAGTATAGCATCTTGATAAAAAGGTTGCGCAGCGAATTCTTCGAGCTTCTGCAAGTACTTATTGGTTTCTGCATCATCAAAGTCTTTCGAAACCATTATAGTCGCTAACATACACTTTTTATGAATCATGTCAGTAATAACTGTTTCTGTAGTGCACAAAGACGTTAGAGAAGTCATCAATGCATTAAAATAATAAATGGTCAGTCCAGTACTTTCAGATGTTTCACAGTAGCATATAATGTTCTCCTGATCGGCATAGGTTTGAATAATATGAATAGCTTGTGGTTTACAAACCCAAAAGCCTAGCAAATATTTATGAAAAAATATCAAAAATACAAATATTTCAAAGGGATAGTACCTATATCTTTGTTGAAGATTTTCTTTTGAAAGCACGATGTGAGCAACATTTCGAGTGCATCGTAAGCTCGTGTTACTTGCAACATTTGAGAACCGGAGATTATAATAGTATAGGCCACGTTCTCATCATTGGAATCATTACTACCTTCCATTATTTGAACATTTATAGAAAATTGTTCTACTAATGCATATTTAAGATTTTGGTCAAATTCATGTTTTCGAAACATCTTTGTGCATTCTTTATTCTTCAAAATTTTATAAAATTGAGTTGGCAATCGAGTTCCTTCTGCCATAGAACATTTTGAGTTTCTAAAATTAATATTTTATTATGAGTTAGTTGTCAAAACTTTTGCTATACATATTTCTCTTACTCAAAGCTAGCAGAAAGGGGTTTTTGAGCATTGTTCAAACTTCGTGTGAAATCGATCGAATTCCTTAGAGACACAGCTGGCATTGTGTTGCTCAGATCCTAGATATGACTCGTCATAGAGCAGCAGATGCCAATATGAATCAACTTACCATGGACTTTTTCGATGATTCCTTATGTTTAAAGAGATGATCCTGTAAGAAAAAATTGAATAAAGTACTGATTCTTACTTTGATCAGTTGATAAATACACCAAAATCTCTCTATAGTGGACAGCCACGGGACCTTGCCGAAGTGTCCACTTTTGAGAGATTTTCAATTTTTTCAATGTAGTCAAACATGCACTTATTAACGTGTTTTATGTAATAATTTATTAACTGCTTGTACAATTTATTTCATCAGAACTATTTTTCTAATTGTTTTTCAAAGAATTAATTTTCGTGTAGAGCTTACTTTAAAAAAAATATTTTTTGAATTCTCAATCTGGCCTGAAGAAACCACTTACACAACTTTCGCCAGGTGCTTTTTGGATTAAGATCGGTCATCTCCGAGTTAAGCTAGATAATTAGTCTACTGGATTCAGGCTATCTTTTCGATGCAAATGAACATTATTTTTCATGGCATACTGGGAACTTCACGTGGTTTTCGAGATATCTACTCTGTTCTCTCCTCGTCCGTAATGTCTTCAATACTTTCAATTTCATCGAACATTGAAGGTTTCAATATAGAGATCACTATAATCATTTTCGATAAGTCATATCTTATGTCAGATCGACAGTACATGTCAATTCATAAATAGTTAGAGAAAGTGATAAACAATTTTTGCCTATTTTCGTAATTCATTCTATTTTCTTTCGTATTTTTTAAACATTCTACTCTGTAGAGATCCTTTTACTCGTCATGCTGATAAAATCAATATGTACATACACACTCAGTTTTAACTGTATGAAAAAAACTCTAATGAACTTGCAAAAGTGTTCACTATGAAGAATTCTTTTGCTTCAGAAGAAACCAAAAAAAGTGTTCACAGTGGGAAACTGCAAACTGGTCCCGGAATTGGTCCCGAGAGACCAATGTCGGGACCGAAAATAACACTATTTCTTCACTGATCCCTGAAAAGTTTTTTTTAATGAAAAACAGGATTGAATCGTCTTTTCAAGTTGATTGATGATCAATAATTATTTTATTATTTCGTAAAAAGAATCAAATACCGATATTGTCAAGTATCTATTAAAACGAACAAGTTTATAATATACATACATAGATAGATATAATAGACTGTTTCGACGATTTATAACAGCAGAATCCAAAATATATGCATCACATGGTGAACACTTATGTGCAAGTGCGACATAGTCGTTGAATTCCTAAAAATTTTCTTAATTTGTGCTATAAAAAAGCGGGACCGGGAACAAAAAAACTTGGTCCCGCAGTTGCCTAGTTCACAGTCCACAATGAGGAGTTGTCCATATTTTATTCGTCTTCAACCAATTCGTCATTCTTCGATTGAAGGAGACACAAAACTAGCATACTAGTTTGGTGTCATTTTTGAGTATAAAACTACGTAACAAGACTATCTTGCTAGTAATCTAGCGTCGGAGATAGAAAAAGAAATCTGTTCACCCAAGTTTACATATGTTTCCTTTTTTCCTCGAAAGTCAGTACTGCGAGGAAATTTATCTAAGATATTCAACATTTTCTAGAATCTTCTGATAATAATCTTATTTGATGCACTTATTTTTTCGAAAATTCTAATATATGTTCAAAATAAACAAGTGCAACTTTGAACTCGACATGTACCAACTTGCGCTTGCCCCAATCTATCAAGGTCTCACTGCTTAAGGTTTTACCCAGAACGAACATTACGACGATGAGATACGACCATTTACAGCCGTATTTGATAACATATACTACTGTTTTATACTGTTTTCGATCGTAAATCGCTGTCAATTGCCTTTTTGGTATATGCGCGGTATTACGACCGTATTTCGCCATGTCATAAACGGCTAATAACGGTCGTAGTACGGTTCGAAAATAGAGTATCCGACCGTTTACAGTCGTTAAGGACACGATGAAAAACAACCGTAATACGGTGCATACAAAATAGACGTAAAATAAAACAAAACGGCAGTTTACCCTCGTGTGTGTTTCACTTGGGTATTTTTCCTTTTGAGAAATATGTGGTTTTCATATTTCACTTGTGTAAATAAGCCGTGCTATTAAGCTTTCCTAATCAGTTACTATCGAATTGCGTGTACATACGTGTTTGAGTTTTTTTTGTTTCTTTTCTTCATTTCAATCAACTATGTTTTCTTAAATTGTGAGCCCGAGGATGTAACTCGATTATGTACGACTAATAGTAAGGAGTCTGACTACGACGATTAGTTATTTGATTGATTGTTATTGAGAATATAATATTTGATCGGTAAAATAAATGAAACGGTCAGTAAACAAAAATATTA